TTAATTTTGGAAAATAAATTGATATTTAATTTTAAAATATATAACAACAGGAAGGATGCATATGATACACGTCATGCTATTTATATTACTTAAATGACAACAGTTGTAATCAAAGAAACAGATAGTCATATATATATACATCAATATTACTAAAGTAAAAATTGACAAATAGCAACAACAACTGAAATGAAAGAGATATGCTATTCGGTGATTTACCAGATAGTCAAAATTGTTATTAAAACTTTTGATGTTGGTGGAATGAAATTGGTTAAATGGGTTAAAAACGACAAGTCTCTACTTAAATAACTAACAGTGTTGTTAAATAGATTTACAAGAACAAAAAAAAAATATATATATATATATAAACATTTGAAAACATAAACGCTTAATAAAATTAAAACATAACTAAGAGCACTAAAAAAGAGAGTGATGGAAGAAATAATGATACCACACTTTTACTAAATGGGGTAATGTCTCCATGCGTGGTCGTTCAATCCCCTTTCAAGTGGGTATACTTACAGCAAAAAATAAGGGAAACCACCCGCAATCAACGATGTTATCTGTTTAATGCAATATAACAAGATCTTCACTATAAGGAAGATCATTAAAATGCGATGCTTATACACTGGACTCATCCATATGATGATTAAAGTAAGTACCTGATAAATCCATAGCAATACCAGGTTATAGTTCTTAACAGCAGTTAATGATGGAACACATTGTTTAAGATTTAGGTGTCATTAGCAAATCTTTAAAGATAGGTTTCTTTGATTTTTCCAAGAATTTCCAAGAATTTTATTTCAGTTTTCGAAAAAGCTTGAATTTAGAATAACTAATCACTGTTTGTTTAGCTCAAAATAAAGTAAATGAACTAAAAGAAATGAAAATGAAATAAATTATTTGTCTGACTATATAATTTGACTTCATTAAACACACTTCGAATGATAAACCCAAGAGATTTTTAGGAGAGTTTAAGAAATTCAACCATAAGATAACCACAAAATATTGGAAGGTATATAAAAATCTGAATTATAATAGCTTGAAGAAATATAAGGGTGTTGCACCTGAACTACTCCACGACTACTGTGCTGAACTACTCAGCACAATTTGTGTAGATGTATAATCGTTGATGTATTTTAAATACTCGATTTTAACATTAATTAGCAAAACTGATACGAAAAGATCCAACCAAAGATCTCTGACTCGGTTTGGGTGACCACTGGATCTAAGCTAATTAGTTGTCATTTTAAGTCACTTTAACCAAGAAAGATCTTGCTCTTAATTTTACACTATATGGATACTATATTGTGTGTTTATAAAAGAGGTTCTCCAAAACAAATAATAAATTGATAAGTACGTATGTACAGAACCTAACACAATAATATAGCACTTCTCATAAACTTAAGTAGATTAGCATACGAAATTTATAATGTAGAAATAGCATTATCTTTTTCGTGGTCTTGATTTGACAGCACGGTTGCAGTCATATGTATATGTCATACAGAACTGTCATTCATGGCATCGCACGTTTAATTTGTAGCCTATTATTTTATAAAATGGATCTTTTAAAAATCGGTAAATGTGGGCAATTTGTGAAAATCTAAATGGATTTATAAAAATGTATTAAAAGATTTTTGTTCTATATATATGCTTCATTATATCCATCGAATCTACTTAGTTATAACCTTCTTGCGACTGTCGGTGACTTACTTTACCAACTAAGCTGATCAGAAGATTATTTTTGTTATGTTTAATAAATTAATATTCTAATATTTTAAGTAAAATTTAAAATGTTTTATTAAAATAATATAAAAATATTCTAATTGAATTTTTAATGTATATATGTATTTTGTATGTATGTATTTTCAATATATATATAAATCCATATAATATGGTAAATCTCCATCTGAGATAAAGTATTATCCACCAAAAATTTGAAGCCAAGTTATAATTAAATTTTGTCAATATTGAGCTGAAACATTGTTTGTTTATTATAAAATATTCATTTCTATTAATATATATATTTTTATTTTCCTTTTGTTATATATTCAAAAATCCATTTTGAAACTGAATATATATAAAAAGTTATCCAACTATTTTATTTATCTGTGATATTTTCATAAAAGTAAAATAAATATGTGTACTTATTTTTTACAAATATATATGTCCTCACATACATGTTAACAATACTAACCTTTATTTGTAACTCCTGCTTTTTAAAAATCGATTGAAATATATTATTTATACAAAAAGCTATTGAATATGTTTATTAGCTCTCGTCGTATATTTTACTATTCCATTTATTCCAAATAAAAAAATATATTTTTTCACATTTTCAGTTTTTTTTTTGTTTTTTTATACACTCAAATGCCGTTTGTTTTTTTACTTTTCCGATGTAATTATTTGCAACACTAACAACCCACTTCCGCATAAAATAACAATGGCTACAAATTTATTTCCGCTTAGTGCACACACAAATACATTTGTCATCACTCCCAAAAGCGAATCAAATTCAGCATGAAAAAATGCTGAAGGACCGGTGAAAAATTTTAGGGTTTTCTCCGTATCTCGTAAATGTAAACAAAAGTTTATTGTTAGAGCATGAATTTGAGCTACACACAGCGCGCTTCCCAAAGCTCCATGAACCACCCGCAATCGACAACAAATGAAGACTGAACAACTTATTTCTGCAGAAGATTCGCGTAAACATGTGAAAAATTCGCACACAAAGAGCAAATAAAAATAAAGAAATGTGTATAAGCGGTCGTGAGGTTTCGAGATGTGAGCTACAATGCTGCGATTTTGATGTCTTGTTCAATAGAAGTAATATGCATATGTATGTTTAATTATGTGTAAATATATATAAATGGAAGTAATTGATATATATTGACATAATAACTTGTTAGAATGTAATATCAAATTCTATAAGTCATCAACTAAATATTCAATACTGAATGTGATACAGAAGACGTATTCAATGTTAAAAATGGAAATTTTAATTTTAAATGAGTGATTCAAAGATAATGTGCATCTTGATTGATTGGATGCAGTGGCAGGCCATTAGATAAATTCTATGTACCTCAATTAGCAATTTTTCGCCGTTTTGCTAACACATTCTTCGCAAGAACCCTACTATAAAAGAGTAGAGACTACATCCATCACGCCAATATTTAGGTAATTTAATAGGTCTCTCGTCTTCATCAATTAATGTGAATCTTATTCTTTTTTTATGAAATGAAATATCTTTTAAACGGATTTTAAATTTAAATCTAGTAGCGTGTGTTTAATATATATTGTATTGTAATGGGTAATAGTTAGTAATTATTAGAATATTAATTTTTTATCCATATTGTTTATTTTTCTCAAAACATAATCTTTCAAACAAATCACTGAAATTTGGAAATTTATGGTAAATAAATCTTTCTGAATTAATTTTTTTTATTATAAATAAAAATAAGTCACTTTTACTTAATGATTATCTTAGGAAAGAGATCTCTGTGAATGAATACAGCATTAGATTCATGGACTTACATCAATCTATCGGTATGAATCGCTCTCTATTTCGAAATAATTTTATATGCAATAGCTTGAGATAGAAAAACCTATTCGATATTTTATTTAATGAACAACCTATCTATTAAAAGTGAACTTTAAATATTTTTATAAATTTTATTTACGAAGTATAATCGTATATTATTATATACTCGTATATTTGATTTATTTACTTGTAATATGAATTATTAATATGGATTCACAAGGTGGGATTTGTAAAACATCTCATAATTTGCTTATATTTCTCATCTACAAATTTCAATAATTTGATATTATAGTGTAAAAGTACATATAATTGCAGTATTAGTGTAAGCCTTACTTATTAATAATTTGAGTTATTGAATAACCGACCTTTAGTCGGGTTAAATTATATGTGTACTCTTAATTAAACAAATTTAACATACAGAAAGTAGCGCAATAATATTCAACATTTATTATACGCATGCAAAATTTCAACCAAACCTAACCTAACCTATCCAAACTTAAGCGCAATGCAACTCAAACATGGCAAGATGAATGAAGTTGGGGTAACACAACTTGTTAGATCCAAAGCACAAATTTTGATATAATTGCTATTGGTTTTGTTTGTTCTATTTAAACATTTTATTGCTATTGCTCTAATCAAAATTTTTTAATTTTTTGTTTTATTTTTTAGTTATAAATCAACAAATATGATACCAAATCTGTATTAAGAATAGTATGAGTACGTGAAGCAACTTTTTGAAAATGACTGAAGATGGAAATGTTGCAGAAACAAGTGTTGCTGTTGTCAATCAAGCTAGGAATGTTGTGACTATTACGTTCCACAATATTACATGAGAAAATGTTGCTGCTACAACGTGTAACATTTAGGCGGGAAAAGTATTTGTGGACTGAACAGTTTCTGTGCAGTCAGTACTCATAGCTTTAGCAGAACTCGTGTAGTTAGAGTTGTTGGTAGAGGCTGCTTATGAAAAGCGTAGAAAAAGACAGCAACAACAACAGCAACAGCAACAACAATAACGATATACGGTTAGTGCAAAAATAGTGTATAAAAGCAATGAAAGCTGCAACGACAGCAACAAATGGTAGCGTCATTATTTAGTCAATTGCTGTAACACAAAAGGAATTTCTACTCGAAGTTCGTAAAGGAATTATTGGGTGAACAGATAAAAAAGATGTGATAAAAAATATGCCATAAAATAGGAATAAGTGGTTGCAGCATTGTTAATGTTTCAAAATTGTTAAAGGAAACCTCTGACAAAATAGATACTTCAGATTGAATGTATTTTCCTAGTGAAGCAGAATGGTGAAATATAGGAAGATTTTACATAAACCAAAATATTATGCAAAAACATTTAGAAAAAAGTTAAAAAAAAAAAATTGATTTATTAGTTTACAATTGATTTAATATTAATATTATATTTAAGTTTTGACTGCTAAGTTTTTATTGACTGCTATTGATGCCATTAATGCCATTGAAAAACGATATGTGAAATCATAAGATAACAAGTAGCTATGATTAGATTTCCCAGCATCACTGCAAAACCCACACGAAAGAATGTCATAAAATTAAATTTATAACCATGCTGTTCTGCTATTCCGGATGCCACCACATTTGCTGATGCACCAATTAATGTACCATTTCCTCCGAAACAGGCTCCCATAACTACCGCCCATACCATAGGTTGCACGGGAATATCCAACTGCGAGTCTTCAGATAATACGATTATGATTTTCACCATCATCGTGGCTACAGGAATATTATTTAAAAATGCTGATGCTAAAGCTGTCACCCACAGTATAATGAAAAGTCCAAATGCCATCTGATGTTCCGGCCTGACAATAAGTATTGCTTTAATCACCAACTCACCAATTGTTGCTATCAATCCGAGTTCTGTTAAAGCTTCCATTAGCATGATTAATGAGGCAAAAAATAATAATGTGGACCACTCAACACGTACCAGTAATGCCTCCATATCTCTTTTATCAGCAATTATAAGTAGAAGTAGAGCACCAAGCAATGAAGCCCAACCCAACGAAAGATGATGAAAGTGCGGTATAGAATGCAAAAAAAATAATGAAATTACAAATATAAAAACTATTGTAGACTTAACCAGTAAAACCTTATTTCGAATTGGATATTGCTCTTTAAGTTCTTTAAGTGTATTTTCAAAGTTTTTCGCTTCTTGTGACCTAAGAAGACTTTGCCCAGAATCTAGTTTCTTCTTCAAATCACCAGCTCGGTTAGCCATAGCCTTACTTACTAAATTTTCTTCAAACGATATAGGATTTATGCGTTTTGCAGCTTGTGCCCACATCTTAATATCATGCAATAGCTCTGCTGCATCTTGTATGAGATTAGGTGGCGACTTACCATAAGCTCTGTAGATAAAACGTAACTGTATGTAAGTTTGTATGCTGGCGATTAAGAGCACTGGTATCATATGCATTGTAAAAGTAAAAAAGTTCACATCTCTGGCAGCTATATACGCGTTAGTTGATATAATAACATTCGGTGGATCACCGACAGGAGTACCAACGCCTCCAACGTTTGAAAACATTATCATACATATCAGTAAAGGAACAGGATCTAGAGACTTGACTTCACAGAGTCTTATGACTACAGGCGTACAAAGAAGCATAAGCGTGACGTTATCTAAAAGTGCTGACATACATTCAGCAGTAAAACATAAGGTTGCTATTAAAGGCCAAACTTTTCCTTTAGATACTCTGAAGGCCACCACAGCGGAATAATCAAAAATACCTGTTTCAGTAAGCACAGCTACAAGTATCATCATACTAAAGAGAAGCAAAAATGTCTCAACATCTATCCAACCCATTATAGTCATCAGACTGGGTCGTTCATGTATGCCTGCTAGAATCCCAAGTGCTAATGTTGATGCAAGTATCGCTGCAAAACTTTGATTTATGATCTCCCATATTATCAATACATAAAGAAAAATAAGTACTATAATAGCGCAAGTAATGCCAAGTTTCCTATCTATAGGATTATCATCTAAGCGTATATGAAGAGTTGTACCTTCAACCATATTTGTAGATCTTATTTGCAAAAATTCTTCACATCTTATATCAATCTTATCTGGGTCGGGCTCAAATTCTAGTATTTTTTTTTTGTATATTAATTCGGCATGATCTCTTTGTTCTTGAGGTACTAAATTCAAATTCCATTCGTCTGACAAGTTTTTCATTTCACGAACAGTATGATTATATTCAAAATAATATCGTTTTGCTTGTATAATTATAGATGGCTTACTACTGTTATAACTGTGAAACTTGTCAAATGGAGCCTCTATAGCAACTCCATATAAATCTTTGTTATTTTTTTTTAAAGGAAATTGATAATCAATGTTTGGAGGCAACGCTATTAGTCTCTCGTGATCATTATCCTCGCTACTTTTCATCATATAATATGTAGATAAAAACCAAACACCAGAAAGAAAAAAAACCTTTACGTATTTTAAAGTGTGCCATGGCGGTGATTCTTCCGGAACATCTGTTGCGGTATCTTCATCAATTTTAATATCAAGATTAGTGTCTTCAGTGAGTGGCTTATTTCTGGTAGCCATCTTCCAATTCGATATCCTCTGTCAAAACACTAATATTGTCGTGAAAGAAAACTTTTTAAACAAATATATGAATTAATAATATAATATATGAAATATATTTCTGTATATGTATTTTCAAATACATTGAAACTTTAATTGATGCATATTAATTGGATTACTTTGTTTCCAAATAAATTAATTTATTTTTTTTTCGAAGCCTGATACTTACATCCATTTCGCGCTAAAAACGACAAACACTCTATATAAAACAATTCCATACAATATCAAAATTTTGTGGGTTTTTGCACTAGGCTTAAGGAACAATATTTTAAAATGTAACCCAGAAAACTATTAATTGTTTCTATTATCAAAATAATTTTTAATAATTCATTTTTGGCGAATAAATTCTGCATTTGTGAATAAGAAGAAAAGCATCTACCACACTGAGGTCGATGTATTTACCACACTGAATTTTTGTATTTAGAAAAAATAATACACGAATGTAAATTTAAAACCCGATTTAGATTGAGTTTAAGGGGAGCTCATTGCTTTATATACAACAACAAATATGAGTTATTCTAAGGTCGTCTTACCCCCAGATTTTGAATCAAAAACGCCAAAGCTTAAACATTTTAAGGGACCTGTTAGAACGGTTTAGACAAAACTAGATAAATTTCTTGCACAGATTTATACCTGTTAATGAAAGTGATTTCGTCACTATGATTACATTGTGGAAATCTAAGTTCTATCAAAATTGTGGATTAAGAAATGTGAAAAAATTCATAAGATATGTTGGGAATCCTTTTGAATAAGTGAGGAATGTAATATAGCTTGCATATGTATTTTTGACAGAAAACGTTCTATTTGATATGATATTGATTTCTATTCTATTTGATGATAAAATCCATTCGATCAATATAAAAAATTAAAAATTGTAGCGATCCGTTAAAAATCGGTGACTTCAGTTATTTTGCATAAAACAGCATTTGTGTTTATTAAATATCATTAAATTTAATTTCACTATATGTAATTATAATTATTCTAATTCAGAAGTAAAATTATTTCTTGAAGTCAAAATAATTCCTACAAACGCATATTTCCTTTTCTGGACTGCATGAAAGTCTAAAGAATCCTTTTGAATAATTAACAATTCACTTTTTAGTGTTCCGAGGTGCAGCAGAAAACTACTTTAAAATAAAAACAAGAAATTCACTTTCATAATTACGAACTTCCGTTCCAGAATTAAATCCGGATTTCATTTTCAGCCGCTCAAGAGGAGTTTGTCGTTACCGGTCGGCCTATGGAACTCAACAGAAAGGTTCAAAATTTTTTTATTTGCACGGAAAATTCCATGAAAATTTTAATGCAGCGAAAAGGCAGAAAGCTCACGTATATTAAAGTTAAGAAAATTAAATATTATAATGACTTCATTTTACTTGAAGTCACCGTTTTCACTTTGCGTGCGTAACATAACGTTATTACGTTACGTTATTATTTAAGCTTTTAAAAAAAAAATTAATCTGCAAGAACCCAAGTTTTTAGTTAACTTTAATTTAACATATTTTTCATAAAAAGTAATAAATATAATGAAAGACGATTAACAAATAAATAAAATAAAAATAAAGTCGATTTATTGAAGCTTAATTGAAATTTTATATAAATTAAAAAAATACGAATTAAATATATATATATATATAACTTAAAAAATATAAAATAAAAATATAATAAAACTATAAAAAAATTCAGCTAAAATACTTTATTTTTCATTTAAAATATATATAATTGATTATTGAATATTATATAAATCAATATAAAAAATCGAAGTATAGAAATAGCGCATAAACCGGAGTAGCTATTGCAATTGGAATATAGAAATATTTTTCATCAGTTCTTCAGTAATGCAACATTCTGCAATACTATTTCATTACATATAAAATTATAACAGCAGCAAACTTCGCAATGCAGAAATAACAAGCCATTATAAATCTTGAGTCGGCCTTGTCCACGTATTATACTCTACTACACCCAACCTAATCAGTGGCTTGCTGTCGCCAGTTGTTAGTACCGACTATTTTCATATTTCACCTAATCCTTTCACTGCGGATGTGGACATCTCCGTGTTTATCACCAGCTGGATCTTATTCCCTTAACTGCGAGTATGTGTCTATCATGATACACCACATACAGTTTATCGTTCCATTTAATGCGATAGGAATAAAGGAGCCTTAAGTAAGGAAAGAAAATCTGAACCCCTGAATCAAAAATATTATACCACGACTAACCGTGGCAGAACCTAAGATCGCAAAACAGAAGCTACAACAATACAACCAACAAGCGCAAAACAGATATAGTAAAAACAGTAACTAAAATTATAGATCAGAAATTCCAGTGATAGAAACAAACTGACTGAACAAAGATAGCAATAATCAAACCAACAATCGACTTATTAATCTTATAATTCTAAACAAAAACCTGTCTAGAGTAAAGCTCAAATAATTTAAAAGTTGTAGTATTATTAAAAATTTTTCTGACAGAAATTCCAGTTAAAATTGAAAATTGTACAATAATTTTTATTTCTTTTTACTTTCTATTATTTCAGGCATTATATACCACATTAAGGTAAGAAACCACTACCGGAGATAATAAACTAAAATAAGGAAATGAATTTCCTAATTTCATTATAAACTTGAAACATTGGCATATCCGACTCAGTACTCTGCTTTCGCATATATAATTATAATTTAATTTCAACTTTTTTTTAATTAGCTTCAATTTATTTTAAAAACAATTAAAAATATTAAAACTTCATAAATTAAAACTTTCTGTAAAAGTGCATAACAAACAATAACGAATTGCAACTCATAAAAGTTTTAAAAAAGAAAGACCAAAAGACCAAATTAAAAAAGGAAAAGAGGAAAAGGGCATACTTTACTGGCATATCCTGCAGGCATTTTATTCCTTAAACAAACGCACATAAAATTTCATTCTGACGAGTGAAACATCTTATTTTACGCTCATTTCCTTTGTTTTCCCAGCACAATATTTGTAAAGGAACGCATCTCTTCAGTAGTTGCAAAGCATTTATGTCCTTTTTCACACATACATGCACATTTATAAATTCTTTCTGTTTCCATAAATTTCCCTTAAAAGGTAAATAAATTTAAGTTAAGGACATGTTTATAACCTCAATTTCCATGAAAGTCCGACGGTATCAAGGTCGTGTTGAAACAGAAATTTAATATTTTATCAAATTGAGCACGACTCGCTCAACCTTTTCATGTCCTTTTTGGTTTGTAGGTGAAATATATACATTTTTATTTATTTTATTTTATTACAAATAAATAAAAGCTACTCAAACAATGTTTCATAAAATGTGTCGTAAAAATATGCAGATATGAAAAGAAAAAGGCAGTACAAAATCATCTAACGGTTCCATTTGGTTTCATATTTTAACTGGTTTGGCTTTATTGTATATATGTCAAGACCTCTACATATTGTCGGTCGTGAATAAATAAGAGAAAACTAACTATGAAGCTCATGCGTATGAAAAAACTTCAATGCGATTAGAGAAATATCTGCATCGTTACTATGTAACATCTTAATCTTTAAATAGAGAAATATCTTATAGAAAATATGATATAATTTCAGATTTTCGGTATATGAATATAATTAAAATTATTGAAAAGACCGTTTACAGTTACAGTCGAATCGCGATAATTCGTAACTCGATTAATTGAAAAACTCAATAATTCGTAACAAAATACTGGTCCCTTGAAAAATCTCGTTAATTCGTAAAATTTCCATACATTTTGGTTCCCTCGTTAATTCGTATTTTATTTAAAATTCAATGAACATTAAACCTCTTATAATTCATTATACAGAACAAAAAACCTGTCTTCAAATTCAAGGCTCTTCAAGAACATTCGCAGCTTTTTAATGCTTTACCGACACAATAATAAGTCCTGGATGACAATGAATATATAACTATATAACGAATGACTTCACATGCTGAATGATGAAAACTAAAAATCGAATGGTACTGTTATTTATATACATTTGTACAGCACATAATGGGTCCCGTAATCTCAGCCACGCAAAAAAAAATTTTTGGCAGTAAACACCACTTCCAAGCTGCAGCCCCTTGACCGGGGTATTATAAAAAATTTTAAATTATTTTACCACAAGGTTTTTATGTTCTTATTAAATGAATAGTACGTAGGATGTAAATACATATGTAAATTGAATTATTTAGTTCTTATATATATATAATATATGTGAAAATCAATTGAAATATAAAAGCCCCATTAAATCGAATCTCAATAATTCAAAAACCACGCTAATTCGTAAAAAATTTTGTTCCCTTAAGATTTCGAATTATCGGAATTCCACTGTATTTGCATTTACTGCTTCATATTGACAAGATAATGAGATGCTTTAGAAAATGGAGAATTATATTAATTGCAGAGAAAAAATTTCATTTCGAGACGAAGAAATCAAAATGCAGAAAAAAAATAAAAGTCCATAATGTAGAAATGGAATCGGTAGATATTGTGAAATACTTAGGATTAACTTTTGACAAAAGATACATTTGGCTAGAGAATATTAGAGTCACAAAACTGGAAAAGTGTTTCGTAACTATTAATAATGAATGGTTGGTTAAAAACAAAACTCTGCTCTATAAGCAAATAGCCTATACTACTTTATAGCTATGTGTCTAATAAAAATGCTACTTAACCATCATTAGAAAACTTTAGATTTATCACAACATACAATATTCATACCTATTTCTAAAAGCTTTTTTGTAAAGCTTAATTCTAATTTGATGCTGCTGATAATCACATTTATTCAGAATTGTACTCTCTTAAATTAAATGGAATATATACTCCGTCAGGAAGAATTCCTAGGTCTTAAAATGTACTCCTATAAAATTACCTGAATAACTTTTTATCATATTTCTATGGAGTTCTAGTTGCAGTAGATCACCCAAATGATCACAAACACTATATAATGCTTTACACACA